CACAAATAAAGTCAATAATTGGGCATCACTTTTTTTGCTTTGTAATATATGTGGCTTTAATTTCTACTTCCAAATATTGTAGCTGTTGTCTGCATATCTTTCTTCTGAATGTAAGGTCAGATATGATAAGGTATGCATAATATTTTGTGGTGAATTTGTCAAATGAATGAATAAAGTTTTTGGTTGTTGGGACCATAGGCCTTCCCCCTACTCTAGCACCCCATGAAATGCTTTACTATAGTAGATGTTCCTAAATGTCTGATGAATGGGATAGACATAGGGCTGAATTCTGAGGACTGGATGATTTGGCTGAGAGCGAGCACACACTCTGTTTTGGGGGAGAACATTTTATTTATTTATTATTGTTATGCTGGGGATATATTGTGGCATTTACAAAAGTTCTTACAGTATATCACAGTTGAACTCACCCCCTTCATCATTCTCCTTTATACTCTTCCTCCTATTCCTATAATAGTTTCATCAGGTTAGCACACACTCTTGAGGATTGGAAGTCAGATGTGGCTGCACTCCTGAGGTAGAAGTGGACACAACAATCCAATATGCCAGTTAACATTGATCCATATATCATTCCTGACATAAGTTGCTCCTATATGACATAAGAAAATGTAGTTATTTAAAATGTTCTTACCAGGGCCACAGTATGTCCTGTCTTTCATGGGAGGAATATTTGGGCAATGGACATGGAGTTTTGGAATTTCCTCTGCTTAATCTCTTCAAGTATTGTATCCATAGTCTTCTCATAATTCCACTCTTTTTCAGGTTGCTCAGGTGTCCCAGAGGCAGCCTGAGATAAAGAGGGTTGGGAAAAGAGAGATTAGGGTATAGTTGAGAGTTAACCTTTATAAGAGATGGATTTGTTCATTTTTCTTTGTGATCATCCATGATTCAAAAGTGAAGTAATGCAATGTTTGGAACTATGTTAGTCATCCTCAGTGCAATGTTACTAACTTTTAACACAGTGTCTGCCATATAATAATCCAAGAACAAATGATCAGATTCAGGGAACACTGTAGGGGTGCTGTACTTGTGGACTTTTTTTAGATATATAGTGAGGGTTATACTGGGCAAAGCAAGGTCTAGAGGGAGCTTACTCTAGGGCAACCTGGCTATATACATGTAGCAGATGGCCTTTGACTTGCATTGTTTTGAGTACCCTTTGGTGGATTTCTCCCATGCTTGTAAAACTGTGTCAACACTGTCAATTAGCAGCTCCACCATCCTGACCATACTGGTGGAGTCATGGCTTGGGCTGGTCTGATCAGGGGTCCATCCCCTTGGAGACAGTCATTGGTAGATACACGTCTTGACCAGTTCTTTTCTGATACACAGACATTGGAAGCCAGAAACATTTCTTATTCCTGCATGGGTCATTTGGAACCATTTTAGTGAACTTTGAGCTGCTGGTTACCATCTTCCTTAGCCACTTTAAAGAATCTGTGCAGCAGCAGAGAATGAGGAAAACCGGGGATGAGAGATGAAAAAAGTTAGCCACTGATACCATCAATTGGTCCCTTTTCTGGTTATTCTTGAGACAAATTAATTTAGCTTTGGAATTCCTCGTGTATGTGGAAGAGTAAATTCCCAGTTTTGAGAATGAATAAAAATGATTTATGCTTCTGCTAGTTGCAAAATGCATCTTGATTAATATACCAAAATCATGTAATTTTGCTAAATTTCGTATCTCATGAGTAAACTAGAATGATAATTTCTGCCTGCCTTTGGGGGATTTCATTTGAAGTTCTGATGGGCAAATTTGTAAAAGCATTTTGTAATACATGATGTGGAAACTATCATTGCACCTTTCCTTCCTTTACAGTTGTGCTAACTAGGGCAATCAAACATGTTAGTGGTCTGGGATTGCTAATGATGGGTTTGCCTGAAGGAATTAATGGAATTCTCCATTAATGGACACATTGATGGAGAAGACTATTGATGGAAGAAGGAAGAATGTTTTCAGAACAGAGGGAATGATTAAGCAGTGCCTTTGGGAAGGGACAAGGGTGGCTTGGGACATGTGAAGGGCACTGACATCTTAGAAAAGGGAAAGCAAGGGCTGAAAATGTTTAATAGCACTACTATTGTGCTAGCAGAAGTCATGACTAGTGACAGCATGACACTGTGCCTGTGATTGATTTGTAAATTACATTTCATTTAACTTGATGCAACCCTATTATTGTGGGGAAAATGTAATTCAGAGAAAGTCAGTATTTGTCCAAGATGGTGGCAGATCTGAGATTCCAATCCATGTTGTTACAGGTCTAGAGTCTTTGACCCCAACTTCAGAATATTTTCCATTACTTATTAGATATCTGCTGGTTTCAGATTTCAGGCTTCCTGAATAAACTCCAGATAGTGGCATCAGGAGGGCAGGGAGAGGTTCTGTATCTTAATTGACAATATATCCATGTGGTTTCTAGTTTCTGTATATACATGGAATTCTACTTTTTACTAGGAAAAACTTTAATTTCCCAGGAATAACTTTATCAGAAATAACTTAAGTAGCAGGTGATGAAATCTCAAATAGAATTCACAAGCCAAATTAGCAAAAGTAAACACTTTTGTGTTGTGTGCTAAGTTGAAGCAAGGTTAAGTGAATTATGACCATACACCTCACACCCCAGTTTTATATTCATTCCTTCCAGGCTGCCTGCTTTCTACTTCAGAGCTTTCTAGACCAAAGTCCTAGAAATACTCTTCTATGATTAGCCATGGAAAAAACCCAGGGTTTTGTTCTATGACAAAATCTCATTGCCCTTGTCACAAAAACTTAGTTTGCTCTCATTAGTCACTTCTACCCAAGCTACATTGGTGTGGAAATTTTGTTTTTACTCTTATGTTTAACATTAACTCTTATATAGGCAGTTTATGACCGTTCTTAATTTTTAATGTGTGGAAGATAATAATACTAGTCTATTCCCCTCCTTGCCCCAGGAAACATTTTCTTCTGATAGTCATCCAGAGCTATGTCAGCCTTAGGGGTGGTATCATAATTGCAGGATTTCCCTTTCCTGGACTTTCTGAGTTGGGCAGTTCATGGTGCAATTTTAATGGTTTCAATTCCCTAATCAAAATTCATAGTTAGGTGAGAGTGATTAAAAAAGCCAGACCTGATGATTTGTTGCCTTTAAGAAACACGTCTCACTTACAAAAACAAATGTTTGCTTAGAGTGAAAGGGTGAGAGAGATTTTCCAGACAAATGGTATTAAAAACAGGCAGGAGTAGCTATATTTAAGTAGATTTTAAGCCTGATTAGGTCAGAAGAGACAAAGGAGTTCCCTCCATACTAATTAAAGGGCAAGAAGAAATGAGAATTGTGACCTTATATGTGCCTAATGTCAGTGCATCCAACTTTGTTAAACAAACACCTTTGGACTTAAAAGCACAGATAAACCCCAACACCATGACAGTGAGAGAGATCAGTCCCCTCATCATGATAGGTACATCATCCACAAAAAATCAACAAAGAAATGTCTGAATTTAATGACATATAGACCAAATGGACTTAACAGGCATCTAACGAGTATTTCATTCAGCACTAGCACAATACAAATTCTTCTGGAAGACCATGAAATTTTCTCCAAAATAGGTAATATTTTAGGACACAAAGCAAGTCTTAACAAATACAAGAAAGTTGAAATAATTCCATATATATATATATATATATATATAGTGTGTGTGTGTGTGTGTGTGTGTGTGTGTGTGTGTGTGTATGTGTCTGGGGTTCTGGGGTTCTGATGGTTTTTTCGAGACAGGGTCTTGTGAACTATTTGCCTGGGCTGGCTTTGAATCGTGATCATTAAGACTTCTGCCTCCAGAGTAGCTAGGAATTCAGGCACGATCCCCTGGTGCCCAGATGATTGTATATGTTTTTAAGATCTAAATTGCACATATGAATGAAAACATGCAATATTTGTTTTTTTCAATGTGGCTTGTTTCACTTAGCATGAACTTACTTCTATACATTTTCTTGTAAATGACATGATTTCCTTCTTCTTAAGAGATGAATAATACTCCACTATGTAGAGATACCTCATTTTCTCTATATATTCATTGGTTGGAGGACACACAGGTTGATTCCATTGCTTGGCTACTGTGAATAGTGTTGCTGTAAAAATGGGGGTATGGTTATATCAGCCATATGTTGGCATACATTCTTTCAGATATATGCTCAAGTGGTATAGCAAGGTCATAAAGTAGTTCTATTTTCAGTATTTTGAGAAAGCTCTGCACTGTCTTCTGCTACAGTGGTTGTACTAATTTACATTTCCATCTATAGTGTATAAGGGTTTCTTCCCTGATCTTACCTCCCATCCTGTCCAGAATTTGTTGTTTTTGTTTTCTTGATGATAGCTATTCTAACTAGGATGAGATAGAATCTCAATGTTGTTTTGATTTGCATTTAAAAAGTAGAGATATTTTTCCCCCCAGTACTGGGGATTGACTCAGGGTCTCGCACATGCTAGGTAATTGTTGGACCACTTGGATCTCTGTCTTTAGGCCCACAGGGAGGCTTATAGAGAGGCCTTTCAGAGCACCTATAAAGGACAGCCTCACACAAATCACCACACATCAAGGCTTTTCCTGCTATAACACATCACTCACTGTTACACTGTGTGTAATTGTTTATTGTGTCTCTCTGTCCTTCAGAATGTCCACTCCATGGAAGCTGAGCATTGTTTATTTTTCCTCACCACTTTATCCCCAGCACTTGTGACTTGAGTGAGTGAATTAGTAAACAAAGATGAGAGTTCTAAAGCACTTTTTGTTCTATCTCAGGAAACCCTGCTTCATGGGGAAGCCAATGTGAAGGACTGAGAATTGCTTCCAGACAACACCCAGGGAGAGAGGAATGCAGCCAATATCCATGTGAATGAACCCAGCTTATTAGACATGTGCACTAATTTCTTTTAACCTCACTTGTTCCTGAGATGCTCTTCAATTTAATAAAATCCATTAAAATTGACTGATTAAGCCATGATCTTTTATTAAAAATCTAGAGAAAGAAAGGGAGTTAATCAACATTCCCATTGTGTTGGGACAATGAAAAAAAAGAGGCACTGGGAAAATTTCTACATGTTTTCCAGTACAAAAGCTCTATCCTGAGGAAGGTCCGAGCTTATTAGTATTTGCTCCAGCGGATCACCAAGTTTTCTCCGTTATGGACAACATAGCTATCAACTCCTGAAAAGAATAATGAAAAGAGTTAGGTCGAATAATTTGATCACCGTATTACCAGATAGTAAGTAATATGTCTCCCAGCCCATTGACCCATTTCCCATAAAAGGTCACAACCTCACATCTGAATGCTTTGGGCATTTTTATTCTGTGGATTGTATTGGCACATTTCTTCTTACCTTCTTCCAGTGGTTTGTCTCCACTGAGAATTTGCCAGTAGGTCCTATCACTATTGTCGGCCTTTATGCCCTGAACGGAATTGACATAGAGGCCCAATGAGGTGTGCTCCACTGTAAAGCTGTGGGGGAGAATAAAGGAGTTGCAGTAATGTACAATAGTCAGAGATTTTTCTTAGGCACTCTGCATCCCAGGCTATATTGAAGACATGATGTCTATGCTTTCTGCTCAGCTGACTGCCATAATAGATTATTTTTAGTTAGCAGCTTCAGCCCTCCACCAAAGATAGTAACTGTTGAAGATGCTGCAGCAGTAGAAATAACCTCATGTCCTAGATACATCCTAAGCTGAGTTTTAAGAAAGAGTATTGGGAAGGAGTAATATGGTATTTCATGTGTATTAAAAAGTGAAATGGGTAATGTCTTTCTCATATTCCTTAGTGCTATTTTCTTTGGAAGCCTATGCAGTTAGCTTTATAATACATATTATATTTATTATATTATATATGTGTAATTATTACTGCTTTTTCTATAGCATTGTATACCATGTTTGTAATAAAGGCCTAGTAGATTTGAGGATCCAAATAAACCATACTTTTCAGAAGCAAAGTCAATATCTTGATTTTGATATTTGATCTTTATAGGCCAATTCAGGTTTATGAATTTCCTGAAAGGGAAACATGCAGAGGCTTAGGACATCTGTGAAATTCCCAATTTAAATGCCATTTTTTAATGTTCATTTTTGAGATAAGCAGTCATGGGACTCATCTGATTTTTAAGGAAATCAGTGATTCAAATATATGTAAGAACTTCTCTTCAACCTATAAGATGTCCAGCTCAAAAGGTTCTATTTATTAGAGTGCTTCTGAATAAAAGGGAGCTCTCTGAGATTCATTCATCTGTTAGGTGGACATTAACTTAATACAACCTATGTGCTAGGGGATGAAACATCACCTCTTATTTTTAAACCCTGCTGTGAGATGTGCATGGATGGTAAAGGTACTGATGCTGAACCCTTTTAAATGTATTTGCACTCTGGTCAGATATATTGTTACTGAGTCTTTCAAAATTAGAGCAAATGCCTACACCTTGTTTGTTCAGACTTACCGAAATATAGTATTATTCCTTCTCTGAGCTTCCTCCATTACATGTAGGAAGACAGAGCCTCTTGACACACTGACATTGGTGGAATATGTTTTATTGATTTTCACAGAGTAATGGACTGAGATACATGAGGGTGAGTTAGTAGCTGTCACAGGCTCAGGCACTTGAATGGAGATGTTGAAGTTACCTGATGGAGAGAGAAATATTCAGAATAATAAAAATGGTGTCAGAGTTTTCACATATAGCTAATTCCTATGTAAGAATTCCTTTCCTATATGTAGAGATGATTTTGTGGAAGTAGCCAATATCATTAATCAAGGGACAAATCTTTCATGTGACTAAAGTAGACATAACTGGAGATTCACTGGCTTGTGAAAACTGGCATTTTGTTCAACTCCCAGTTGTTTAAACAATTCAGTTGCCTAATACCAATTTCTCATAGAGGGTTCAGGTCTATCTATCTATCATCTTTCTTTCATGGCTATATATAAAGATATATCTATATATTATATAAATATATAGAGAAGCCAGAATCTCGAGTCCAGTACTACTTGCCAAATTCTCCCTTTCTCCCTTTTTATTTTTGAACACTTATTAAGAACTTATTAAGCGGCAGATATTTTACTAAAAATTTTATGTGGATTATATGACTCACTACTTATAAAAGCCTATGTTAGACACTGTTACAATCTCATTTTCTTCATTAGGAAACTGAAACTTAAAGGTTAAACATTTGCCCAAGGTCCCTAAATATGTAAGTGGCTGAACCAGGAATGAGCAGACATAAATGGAAATGTTTTCTTTTTTCTACCACGTTGCAAAATCATTTATTTGATTGTATGATTCATGTTACATTTCTCCCAAAATGCTGCCTATTCCTTCTACACAGATGTCTTATTTTTCAGAAGTGTCACTCAGAATGAATAAAGGAAAGTCACAAACATGATGCCTTTTGTGTATAATTTGTTTAGAATGAGAAGAATGCTCACCATTTTCTATATCCAACAATCAGAAAATATCTTTTTGGAGATAGATGTCATTTAATCAAGCCAACCTTGATTATCATTCCTTGAACCACATGATGTCTACCATCCTAAGAACAATTTCTCTGCTGGTTGTAATCCCTGATGTTGTAATGAAAACTGATTTCTAGGGAACTGAAACTAGGGAACTGCTAGATTTTCTTTAGAAGCTTACCTGGTCACCTTTTGTCCCAAACTCACCTACATCTTTGGACACATACATGCGTTGGTTGTGATGCCAAAAGGCAAAAGAGTTTATTTTACCCTTTAGTGCTTATACCTAAAGGTTGGATGCAAGGAGACTCTTTGTTCACATCCAAGTAGGTCTTTCCCAGCAGAGAAGGTAAGATTTGTGCTGCAAGAGTTGCTTTATTAAATGCTCCCTGAGAAATTTTCTTGAGTATAGTGTCTCGAGTTTGATCACAGTTCCACTCATTTTCATTGTAATAGTCTGGTGAGACAAAGAGGGCCTAATGGGAGCAAAACAAAGGGAGAGACAATGAGAGACAGTTCAAATAAAGGTGGGAAAATCTAAATCTAACTAATTTTGTAAGTGTTTATTGGACATTGACTCCACATTAGCACCTAAATAACTGAGCTATCTTTCTTGGTGTGAAGAAACTTATGAAATAGTTTGGGTGAAGTTGTGTGGAACTGCTTAAGAACACAAGTTCTAATGATGTTTTTCACATATTCATTCCTGTTTCTCAATACTATAAAAATATCTGTCATAAGGGAAGTACTCAATAAATATGGTTAACAATCTATAGTAAAAGGAGACTTAGGATGAATGCCCTATGGGAATTATCCAGAAGTATGGCCTTTCAAAAGAGGAGACATGCTTACATATATTTTGTTAGGCCAAGAAAAAGATTCATTGGAAAAAGTGGTATTTGAGGTTGGCTTTTGATGTTATAATGAAATTTTTGGAGGTGAAATAAGGAGGGCTGCTGTATATTCAGAAAGAAAAGCATGAACAAAGGCCTAAGGTTGGAATGGCAAGGACTTAGCATGATGTGCATTTTAACAAGTCTCTATGGTCCTTCCCTGTCTAGGAGGACTGGTGTACAGGGAACAATCAGCACAATTGTGGAAGAACAGGCTAGAGAAGGAAGTTAGGTGAGATTGGTAGACGCTTGACTCTCATAGTGAAATGTATAATATCAGTTGATTGACAATGGAGAACCTCATAGTTTTCTGAACAGAATATATCCAGGCACCAGAATGTACATTTAATTGAAGGAGAGAATTGTGGGGTAGTAAAGGTTAGAAGGGTGTTGGAGTGAGCAGAGAATAGCTGAAACAGTTTGTACTTGTACACAATGCTCTGTAGTTTCCCAGGAAAACAGTTCTCCTTTGCATCCTTTTCTTGGTGATTCTTAAACCTAATCAAGTCATTAACAAGCATTTGTTTTATATTAAGAAAACAGAACTTATCATGTTACATGTTCTCTTAAAAATATTCTTGTAACTAAATAGCTGTCAGTCCTGCTGTGTTTGTATTATCTGTAGGATTTTTAGACAAGACCAAGACCCATGCTTTACCCCTCAATTTCTATATTTGCTGGCTCATGTGGGAGTTTATATGTTGGTGTTTTCTAAGAGCTGCTTCAGGTGATTCAAGCGTGCAGTCAAAATGGGAAACTGTGCTTTATATTAAGTTCAAACTTGACATGGCAAACAAAGAAACTTGGGTACAACAATAACAAAAACAAAAAGAAAATCAAAAACCAAAAAAAAAATCCCAAAAAACAAAAATTTTGGATGTCTGTTCATATAGCATGCCTCAACTTTTTAAGGTTTCCCAAGAATCCTGTGCTGGCCTGGCTAAGCATCTTGTTTTTGTTTTTAAGATATATAATTTTATCTCTTAGCTTTCAGTCTCTTTCTTTGCTGTCTTATTTTCTATGATAGTCCTCTCACCCTATGTCAACTTGCAAACAAATATTCATAGTCCTCTCACCCTATGTCAGCTTGCAAACAAATATTCATACTAATGACTGTGAATTTTTTTCTCTATAACCCTTCCTTGCTCTCTGCTTGTGTCTACTTTGTAGAGTTGAGTAAATCTTTGAATAAATGGTGAATTAAAATGCCAGACCTCAGGAAGTACATGCATGGCAGTATAGGTGCTGAGTGTGAGTTTTGAGAACAACTCTCTAGGTCCTGTTTCCATTTGCACCACTTTCTGGCTTTGTAAAATTAGGAAAGTTATTGACATTCTGTGACTCATGCTCCTTTTCTAGGAAATGGACATAATAATGTTTTCCATATGGGTTGTCATGTGTATTAACGAGTTAGTGGCCCAAATAAATAATAGCTCTTGCTCCTATCACTGTCAGTTACTACTTCTACGATAACAATTTGATTGGGAAAGAAATATGAATTTGTAAAACCTCAGTGCATAGTAAAGTGTGAAATGGTATGTGATAAACCAAGATTGGTTGTATTGGTCTTTCAAATTTCACAAAGAACTTGCAGGGGCAATGGATGTTGATAGTTAATGATTCAACATAAGAAGAGCATATTTTAGGCAAGAGATGGGATTCAAATAAGCATACTCAAAATTAATGTAGGAAATACATAATGGGTACCAAGTTCTTAGGATGCCAATAAGAAAGGATCGTGGTTATTTCTTTTTTCCGTGACTCCCTTCTCTGCCTCCTGTTTTACCCCCTGACTTACCTGCATAGCTGCTCCTGTACTAAATGTGTTTCCAATGAGACCATTTTCTTTTTTCTCAGACAGAATCTTTTCTACCAGTGTCCGTATATTATTTTCAATATGCTTTAGATCTTCATCTGCTTTGGTCTGCTCTTTTATTAGACTTCTCTTCACACATATCAGAGCCAGGACAGCCATTGCACCAGTATCTATCAGGAAAGAAAACATTGGTGTTGGGTGACAAAAGATCAGTTTTTCTTGGACTGAGTGGTAACTATGGATGCAGAAGTTTCAGGGATAAAAGTAGGATAGATTTGAAAGAAAAACTGGAAAAGTTAGTCATGGTAATTGATGCTCAGAAAGAAGAATTTCAAGATATAGTAACTATCTCTCAGTACTAGTCACTCACATAGTTTGGTTCTTTCCCTATGTTGAGCATTCATGTACCCCATGCTTAATACTTTCCATTAAGCTATAAAACACATGGATTTGTGAATTCATACACACAAATAACTCTTCCAGTTTTAGATCTTGGTTGTTCTCATCTTTTCCATTTTTCAGCCACTTGGCAAAGAAATCAAGAAAACCAAGGATGATAGACAAAATGTCATTGTATGTTCCTAATCATTTCATTACAGTGAATAGAAAGTGACAATATAATTGCTCCCCAATAAACCACTTTAAGGGTGAGGATGAGGGAAGATATAGGAAGGTGAGAAGATAATGGGTACTTTTCAGGCATGATATTTGGTTTCTCCTTTGCCCTTTAGTATTGTACCTTCCTTCTCTCACAGGAAAAGGAGTATGAGAATTATCACAATTTCCTTACTATCCAGAAACAATGAATGGTGATTTAGTTTGAACTTCTTGGAGAAAGATGAGCGTGTATATCTAGGTACTTAAAGGTAATTTAGGTTGTCCATAGGAGTCTTTTTTCTTCCTTCCTTCCTTCCTTCCTTTCTTCCTTCCTTCCTTCCTTCCTTTCTTTTCCTTCCTTCCTTCCCTCCCTCCCTTCCTTCCTCTCTTTCTTTCTCTCTTTCCTTCCCTTCCTCCCTCCCTCCCTTCCTCCTTCCTTCTTTCCTTCCTTCCATGGTACAGGGTTTAAACTCAGGGCTCATGCTTGCTAGGCAGGTGCTTTACCACTTGAACCATTCCACCAGATAGAGGAGACTTCTTCTTATATGTTTAATTTGACAGAGTGGAAAATTGGTCCTTCTCCATTATGAGTACAGATTTTATTGAACCTTATTGCTGGAAGGATGCTGTTCAAGTCAACTAATGTATCCAAATTGTCCCAACAAATTTGAGACAGTGGCAATTAATGAATTCTTCTGCATTTTCTTTTTGAAACTCTTATGCTTTCTGAAATGATTTTTATGAATAGTATCATGTGCTATACTTATTTTCCAGTTAGAAAAATTCAGGTCAAGGGCTGGGTAGAAACCAGGTCTTTCTATTTTACCATACATCTAGACAGAAGCTTGGTTTTCACCCATTATTCATTATTCCACCAAAGAAAATTCTCTTCTGAGAGGATTAGGGCATAGAGGATAGTAAAAAAAAATCTAAGTAATTTTGGTGGAAAAATCCTAAGAGGAAGGGTTACTACTGGTGACCAGGTCCTGTGCACCAAGAGAATTGGGTTTAATAACTCACCTACTGAGAACTGGTCATGAAAATAAAAGTTTTTATTTTCAGGAGCAAATAAATCAGCAACTTTTTTGGGTGAGTATGTTCCATTGAATAGACACAAGGCCAGAACATCAAGGCTGAGCTGGTAGTAGTTAGTCAGCGGATTGCCATTTTGTTCTTCTGTGAAAGAAAGAGGAGAATACATACTTTATTTACAGAAATTCTATGAGGTATTGCAGTTTTCAACCTACTGCTTTGTACTTCATTTTTATTTCTCTACATTTAAAGAGAGGTAAGTTACAGAAGGGAGAGATCACCAATAGGATGAGCAAGCCTGAGAAATGTAAAGGACCTTAGAGGCCACCAAATTCAACTCAGCTACTTCAGTTTTATAAGCCAGGAGATCTGGCACTAAAGAGATAAAATGCTTTCTAGATATTAATGTAATTACAGAGCTGGGACTAAGATACAGCTTTCCTACTTCCAAGCCTCTTGCATTTTCAATAGTAATGTTATAAATATAAGTAAAAGTATTGGTTGTAGGTATGTCAAAGGGAGATTGCATGGGAGGGATTTAATAAATAATAGGATAAATATTGGATGGTAGTTGAAATAAAAACATGCATCTCACAAACTGCCACAATAGACAGCCTATTTTTTCAAGTTATAATGTACTTTGTCCTGTATTGTTCAGCTGTTTCTGGTGAATTCATTATTTTTCTCAAAGTCAGGCTCCTGGACAACTAGAACATTGTGTCTTGTGTGTATGTATGTGTGTCTGTGTGTGTGCATGCATGTGTGCATGCATGTGTGTATGTGTACCTGACATCATATATAAAGCGGTATTTCACCTAGGTCAATGGTCACTTGAACATAATTAAAAAGAAAATTCAAGATGTATGCAGAAAGAGGAAAGGTAAAGTGACCTACAAAAGTATAATGGAATAAGTGGGAAAATAGAATGGAGCAAAATTTACGCAGTTCTAAATCAGGAAAGGCAAAGACAAGGTAGTCTAGAGTCTCTGAATACTTGATCCTTACCCATATATTCAATTTCTTTCTGGAATTTATTTTTTAGATGGTCAATCAGGTGATGATCGTAAATAAAGTTTATGTCTTTGGTATGACAAGCTCCCAAAGCCAGTATACTCAAAGCAAGTGCTCCTGAACTTAAATTTGTCTCTGAAAAGTAAAATATTCAAGTTTAACAAGGTACACAGATTTTTTGTTTCTCCTGTCTTTCTTCTGACTTATATTGCTTGTAAGTTTCTTTTCTCCTGTTCTATGCTTTACTAATATTTAATTGTTCTCCTAACTATCTCTCTACTATGTATGTATGTATGTATGTATGTATGTATGTATCTATCTATCTATCTATCTGTCTGTCTGTCTGTCTGCCTATCTATCTATCCATCCATCCATCCATCCATCCATCTATCCATCCATCCATCCATGTATCTATCAATCTATCTATCTATCTATCTATCTATCTATCTATCTATCTATTTTTGTAGTACTTGGGGATAAACTCAGGGCCTTGCACATGCTAAACAAGTGCTCTACCACTGAGACACATCTCCAGCCCTTGTGTTGTTTTATTTATTCCAAAGGCATAACCTTTTGTGGATGTGGTGTATCAGTGCAAGATATATCTCAGTATTTTTCATAAAATTTGAGAATCATGCAAGATTAGTAAAAATGAAACAACAAGAAGAATTGATAAATACAAATCCTTGGGATGTTCTACTTTTTGGCTGCCATCTTTCTGGATAACATCAATGAATTTTTATGTTCTGTGTTGTAGAGTATCAAATCTCTCAGTTTTTTCATGATACTTAAAATAATATTATGAAGAGGTAAGCATGGCTTCATTCCCCTTATACTAATTAGAAATCTCAGGCATAATAGTTACTTGAATGTCTCAGTGTTAAGGCTGGACTCATACAGAATTCAAATCAGAACTTCTCCATAGCTGTTTCTTTATTGTAAGCTTTCCATATTGTCATTCATATCCCTATCCATTGTGAACTCAGCTATCTTATAATACAATGTTAATGGATAAGAACCTTTGTCTTCTTTTGCTTTCTCTTGGGGACTGTTGGAGGAAAATGGTATTAGGATCCAAGGAAGCAAGACCTATTGATTGATATTATGAGGCACCTTCTGTTACAGCTGGGCTATAACTGGGTTACTTTGGACAAACCCTTATCAGGATTGTAGGAGGTAATTTTTTATATTGGTGGATCTTTTTCTATGTCTTCCAGAAAATTTAGGTACTCACCATTCTCATTCACATTATCTCTGATTTTTTGGGAAAGGGTTTTGTTTAGGGGTTGGATCGAGATCCCAACAATTCTGAGGGAAAGCAGGACATAGGCAGATGCAGTTCCAATGGCATAATTTGACTTATTCATTGTGTTGAACAGAGGGTCCAGACGGAAGAGGTTATTTTCATTTACCACTGTGGCAGAGGAGGAAGAAAATAATTTTACAATAACATTATGAGTTAGATAAGAGTGGCTTCATTTCCCTATTATTTTAATTAAAAACTGAGGCTTAGTATTGACATAACTGGTTCAAGACTGACAATGGATTCAAACCAAGTTCAAGTTTCTATGTCTCCATGGGTGTTTCTCCATCATTAATGTTTTTAGTTGTGATTCCTATCACTCTTGTGGTTGTAAACTCAGTTAGCTTATACAGCAGTATTAATGTGTGAGAAATATACACTTAGAAAATATTAAGACCAGGAAGTAGGCTTAGATTAAAATATTTAATAACATATATGACACAGACCTAGTTCAATTCAGTGACCACTGGATGTGTTAGTAAAATAATGCAGAGGTGGATTGAAACTGCATCTCACACCCTAGGCATTACTTCTTTAACAATCGTATGGGTGTGAACCAATGTTTTAACAGCCTGTGCAGCCTTACCATTGTAACTGGAAGAATATCAGTCTTGCCTTAGATATCTAGTATCTTTCCCTTATTGTGTGTATAAGACCTACAGTTAATGTCCTTAAAGAAATCTCCATAATTGGAGATTTAGCTAAAACTAAAATACACGTCTCTGACTCTCAATCTATGACCCTGCCTCTATTCAGTTCTTTTCTTCTCTTTTTCTAAGTCTATTGTGTCAACTCTGACAGAATGAAGGGAAAAACTGTTACATTGGTGACTGACCCCAAAACTTCACTATCTAATTGCACAGTAGTTCAGGCATGGTGGCCTTCTTTCAGCAGTATACTCCTTTTGGAAAGCCCTCTGATTATAACATCCAAAATCCAGGGGCAAGCATGGAGGTAAGCTGCATTTTACTGTGGAAGTAATAAAGCATCTAAAGCCCTTTGCCAAAGAGTTGGAGGAGAATAAGCACAGTTAGAGACCACATAAAATGTAAGACAATTTCTCGATATAATTGTCTGTACTTTTTGAGAATTAGTCCCAAATCCTACTCATTTCCAGATTATCTCATGGGTTAATGGGGATAGTGAAGCATTTTCATTGGACTATTTGCTCCTTAATTTATGACTGTGCGTAAGATACATAACTTTCTAATTTAAAAACTAGATACTAACTCCTTGTAGATATGGGATAGCTATTTAATAAGATGTAAAATTCTGTGCATATTATTACTTACAGTGCCACTAGAGTTTCAATTACTCTATTTAGGTAATAAGAAAATGTGACTTCCCTCATTCTGTTTTCCTCACTGTAAACTAAGTAGTCAAGAAGATCAGAATGGAGTGATTGTAGGATGCTCATGATGTCTTGTGGACACAATAGCACAGTTGTGAGCCATTTCCCTCAGAATTTGTGGAAGCATCCAGTTTAGAAGATTTTCTGGCATTAGAGAAGACTTTTAGTTTCTGGTCAACAATGCAAATCAGCTTCATTGACCAGTCTATATACAATTATTTTGTATAATGAAGTGAACTTCAGAAATGCCACAGAGATCACTTATTCCCAGAACCCAAAAGGGGAAATGACAGTCCAGAAAGAAAAACTTGAGTTCACAGATTCTGTACTTCAGCCTATTTGGATGCCACTATATATTCTATGCTGTTGATCTTCTCTAGTTAGCTATAGAATATCAGGAAAATGAAGCTGTAGATGATACCCTCTAGTCATTTTTGGATTGGTTTGAAGGTCACATCCAGGGCACAGACTCACAAAGAGAAATTATGAACCTGAGAGGTACACCACTCTTCAGGAGATATGTGCTTCAAGACTCTCCCCTCATTATCCTCATTCATAAATATGCATGAAGATACAGAAATTCAAAAACAATGAGTCATTCAGGTATTAAGAGGTCAAACTAGACCCAAGCCTAGTTTTCTTTTATCCCACTTTAGTATTCTTTAGGAAGTGTGGAAGGAAGAGAGATATGCAGTTTGAGAGATTTAAACTTGATAGTGACAAGAGAGCAGTCTTCATTGTTTGTAAGGGATTATTATCATTATTTATTTATTTATTTAGGGTTTAACATAAAATCTATCGGTTGAACCACAGAAAAACAGATTGCATTTTAGAATCAAAAGATAACTTTCCATGATCTTCTGAAGTTTCTGGGATTGTAAATTTCCTATCACTGAGAAGATCAAAATAGTTACTTGGTAGGAATGCTGTGGTAAGGAGGATCAGAGCATAAGAAGAATAGTTCAGCAAATTAGCAGAGTCTAAGTTCCCTCTTAAATCAATATACATTGTGGAACTTTCCTCATCATTTCTGGTTGTCCTTTTTGCCCCTCCTTTCCATGAGTTCAAACACATAAAACTGGCATAGGGTCTTTTCTTAGTTGACTTTGCCCAGAGTACTCCGAAATAGCCTTCAGAAGACTCACACTAGAGTAATTTTATCTCAAAGTGTACTCACCACAGATTTTGCATATTTGGCTTGGAATAAGAGAAAACAATAGGAGTCCCACTAAAGGCAGTTGGTGTGATGGTTGCATCTCTCCTACAGTGCAGTGGAATATTGAGGGCTTGGCTGGCTCAGCAATGTTGAGGGCTTGGATGATTGGGTAATGACAACATCTTCAGGTAATTTGTGCTTCTGTAACTCAGGGTAATATAGAGCAATGTCAGGAGGTCATATGTATTTGTCCACCTATGATGATAAATCAGGAAGAAAACTTGAAAGGTATGGTTACAGAGAATGAAGAAATAATTTTTCAGTGCTGTCCTAGACCTTCAGGATTCACATTTCTTACTTGTCTTCAGCAAAATGGGCATAAACTGTGTGAATGACTATTCTCACTAATGCTTCCCTCATTTGCATTCTACTTTGGTTATGATTCTTTTATATCTCCTAAGCAATTAGATTTGATGGGTAAGAACATCCAAGAAAAAATGCAAAGTAGAGATTGCTAAGTGTGAGACTTGAGCAGGCAGTATTAGGGAAGCTGGCTAATTGGAGACTCTTTGGCATGGTTTTATTCATGATTTATTTATTTGTTGATATTGGGGTTTAAACTCAGGGTTGTTTTCTTGCAATGCAGGCATTCTATTGCTTGAGCAATTCCTGCAGCCCTTTTATTTTGGAGATAGGGTCTCCTTTTTTGCCCAGGTCAACTTGTACTGGGATCTTCCTATTTTATGCTTTCTGCTGTAGCTGGGGTGACAGACATTTTCCTCTACTCCCAGCTATTGGTTGAGATGGAATCTCATGGCTTTCCCCAGGTTAACCTTGATTTGCCATCAAATGCCTGGCCTGGGATGATGGTTTTTGACACCAGATTTGCCCTTAAGATAGATGTTTCCCTGGGAGTTTCTTAGTCCAGCAATAAAACCAGAGAAAAATATATTAAATGTGGAGTTCTTCCCTGCCAGGACAGTTGGTACATGGTATAGTGACATGTGTTGCCTAAGAATGCTTTTTCATGAACTTGAAGAAGACCATCAGCCTCACTGAGGACTTTGTCATGATTTATGACACAATATTTGCACTGTACCTCTGCAATGGTTAACTTTCTATGTCACCTTGAGTGGCCTTGGAATGCACAGATAAAATGTTATTTCTGGATGTGCCTGTGAGGGCCTTTCCAGATTAGATTAGAACTTGAATGAGTGGATTCAGTGAAGTAGATATCATTTCCTTCTCTCCAGCTCTTGGACTGGGATTTAAAGTCCTCTGGTTCTCAGGCCTTCATACTTGGAGTGAATTACACCATGCCTTTCCTAGGTCTCTAGCTGCAGACTGCAGGACTTGTTTGTTTCTGTAATTGCATGCATCAATTTCCCATAGTCCTCCCTACCCTCACTATTTGTGGTTCTTTTTATCTAGAGAACCCTGCCTAATATAACTTCCTTACATAGCATATTGTCCAGTCCAGAGGAGGCATTCTCTAAATACATATCAACCTGAAGTTTAACAGTGGATGCCAGGAAATACCAAGATAAGATACACACAGACTCTAGACCCCTATTTCCTTGAAAATAACACTACTAATATTTTGAACTAGAGTAGTTTTTTGTTCTATGGGATTGCTGTGTGCATTGTGGACTGTCTATCCTATCCCTGGCCAGTTGAACGACCCTTTCTCTCTCACAGTTATGGCAAAAATGCCTCTAGACATTGCCAGAAGCTACCCGAGGAGCAAATTATCCCCAGGGGGAACTGTTCTTCATGTTTTTAAGTGATTTAAGTTTTGTGGGGATAATCTGAGTTTATCAAGGTAATTTGGCCCTCACCCAGTGTAAGATCAATGAAATTACCCATTTTTACTAACTCTTTCTCTGATTATGTCCTCACTTTTATCCATGTTTAGATGACTTTCCAGGATCCATCCTTACAATCACTTCCCTACATTTTCTTTCAGTTCTCTGGTCTCTCTCTTGTTTTCTAATATTTATTTTGGCTTACCCATACTTACATTTAACTCTCTGTCTATTCTGTATCTGACCACACAAATGTAATGAGGCTATAATGTTGAGACTATAACTCTCAATGTTTGTGTTTTTCCCCAAATACATATGTTGGAGCCCTTACCCCAAAGATTACTGTTGCAGTGGTCTGCAGCAGTATGGTGGGTTTCTGTTACCCCAGTGGGGAGGAGGACGACTGAGAAAACACTCAGGGAACAGATTCAGAGATCAGGTTCAACTTTAATGTGTAATAAGCAGCAGTTAAATACTCTGTTTAGAGGAAGTTTAGCAGGTTCAAAAGTTTGCTAGGTGCGCAAGCAAGAATTGAGGAGTAACACAGATGCCAGCCAGGCCCTAATGGTCAGAGTGTTTATGCAATCGCCTCTATTGCAAGCAAGGCTTTATTGCAAATGAGCAGGTTGCTCTACTTGTTTTCAGCCGGGGCAAGATACAATTGCCTTAACTCTTTCCCTGCCAGACCAGTGTGGCTGCTTGCCTGGGAATCCTCCACAATTATCACCTTAGCCCTAAGGTCATCACCTATTTAGAGGTGGGGCCTTTGGGAGGAGATTAGGTCAAGATCATGGAGCCCTCATAAAAGGTCTTAGTGCCCTTATTAAAAAAATCTCTAGTGAAACCTCTTGTTCTTACCACCATGTGATGCCATAGTAAAAAGGTGCCATTCTAAGAAAAAGTAGGCACTAAATCTGTCTGCATCTTTTTTTTTATACTTCCCAACCTTCAGAACTGTGAGAAATAAATGTTTATTTATAAGTTATCCAATTTATGGAAAATTTTTTATAGAAGCCCAAACACACTAAAACAGAGGCTGAAGAAAAATAACCAATTGTGCTTTGGTTGTACTAGCCTCAATTCATGCTTATTAACTTCAAGTGGACCCATAATGTGGACTGGCTATCAAACTATCACTTTGTACATAGTTATTTCTGTTAGCCTTTATAATTGTACACATTATATCCTCACTCCTCAAACCTCTAATGCCTATCCTTCCATCTCTCCCAACTGATGATCTTGCTGCATATTTTTCTGGAAGAATAATAAGAAGAATAGTATTTCTAACTGATACTACCACCATATGGAAATCTGTGTCTATATGCTCTAACTTGTCTCCTGTTATACAAAGGAATTATTCTGTCCTGATTTTTATTTTATTTTCATTATGTATTAGTTTACTAAGGATGCCATAGCAAAATGTTATAGAGTGGGAACCCTAAACAATAGAAATTCTTCTCACAATTCTGGAAACTACAAGTTTCAGTATGAAGTGTTGGAAGGGTTTGTGTGTGTGTGTGTGTGTGTGTGTGTGTGTTCTGTCTCCTCAGTTTGAAAGTGTCTGTCTTCTTCCTGTGTCTTCACATGGTCTTTCCTCTGTGAGAGCTTGTGTCCTAATTTCCCCTTCTAAAGAATGCCAGTCTTACTGGATTATAGCTCATGCTAATGATCTTGTTTGAACTTACTATTTCTCTAAATATAATCATATTCTGAAGTACTTCAGATGTCAACATATGAATTTTGGGAAGGGGGTACAATTCAGACTATAGCATCACCACCAGAATATTTTCTCCTTCTCTCTTTGAGGTTCATTGAGTTTTCTGGATGATCCGTTGGTTTTGGGACTTTCTCAGCTATTATCTCTTCAATGATTTCTTCTGCCTCATTCTCTCTCTTCTTTCTTCTGTGACTCTTTGTGGCTCATCTCCCATATTCTTCTTTTTTCCTTTCATTTTTCTTTCTGTGCTTCAGAGTTATAAAGAGTTCTTAATATGAACCACTGCAATTTTTTTACTGCAAAAAGAGAATTCATTACACATCTCTTAATTCCTTGCTGAAATGCTACAAACTTATATGAACATATATGTATGTGGTTCATCTTTTTCACTATTTCCTTCCTCCTGTGCTAACTCTAGCATGTTAGTCATTTATAAGTTTGCCTCTGTTGTTCATTGCAATATACAGATTGGCCAGTATCTTCTCTGTGAGTCATCTGGGCTTCATTGCTTCCATGGTTTTTAAATGTCTTCAAAATAGAGTTTTGGGAAATATGATTTAGGAAATAGATATTCTAGCCTGCTTTTATATTATTATTTCTCATGTTGCTTATACTCTTTAGATGTTCTCATCCATGTACATGACTTCAAATATATTAATATTTCCAAGTTTTTACTTCTATTTAAGATTCTCTTTTGAATCCCAACTTATAGCTAAATGCCTTCTCTGCACTTATAGTTGTATATCTTGTAGCAACTTCAAAATCAGCATAGGTAAAATTGAATTCATTGTCTTTTACTGAAAACTTGCTTCTTTATTCATGCTGCCCTCTTTGCCAACTTAATAGATGTGTAGCTTTGGCTAAGCCCCATAACTTCTCTGAGTCTGAATTTGCTTATCAGTAAAATGACAAAAATAGTAGTTTTTTTTTTTTTGAGAAGTGTTTCACTGTGTAGTCCAAAGCAGGCTTAGAACTTGAGATCCTCCTGCCACAGTCTCCCAGGTGCTAGAATTATAGGCATGTACTACCATACCTAGCTCAAAAGTATTGGATCTTATCTCTCAGGGTTTCATGAGAATTCAATAAGATAAGGTCCTAAGAGCAACACCTGGTGTGTAATTAACTGTACATAATTAATAACTGCTGTTATCGCACTAATAGCCATCAACTCAGTTATACTTGCCTAGAGCCTGGCATTGTGCTTCATATCTCTTTCTCTCCCTTAATCACTTACCTAATCAATTACCAGAATTTACTTTAGGAACCACTCTGTTTCTCTAGGTCTTCACTCTATACTGGTCACGATGACCACAATTTATTGCACTACTGAAATAATTTTCAAATCTATGTCTTTGAATTCACCTCTTCCCCCACAACCAGGCCACTCTTCAACCAACTTCAATATAGAATTTCTCAAACTTGATTAATACATGGAACCACATTTAAAGAAAAAGAATCCTCAAGGAACATAATTCCTTTTAGTCTATGAAAACATATGTTTTGAATTTTCTTGGCAACAGAGATATGTTGTTATTTAACATGCTATTTAAAATAATTATTAAAATACTTGTTCTTGGTTAAAACTTTGAGGCTTCCACTGCACCCTGAATAATAGTCTGGACTTTAAATGTGATTTCTAAAACCTTGAACCTTAGCACTTCCTACCTCCCAAGTGTTATCTCACTGTCTTGACAATATGTGCCAACCTTACTTCTAGTTCCTCTAATGTGCCAAGTTCCTTCCTGCCATAGGATTTTGTATGTGTGGCTTTCTCTCTTGAATTCTTGCCTCAGTTGGGGTTGTTTTCCACCTCCTCAAATGGCTCAATAACCTTTTGTGCACATACTACTTCCTCAGGGATGCTTCCTGCACCCTCAGACCCGTTGCCCTCTTAGCCACTCTTTTGATAGTTTGTGCATTTATGAGAATTGCAATTAATTATTTGCAGAAATAGTTATTAACTGTGTTTATTGAAAGTTTCCCTGTCTGTCTGTGAGTTTCTCCAAGTCAAAGATAGGTATTTTCTTGTTCACCATTTGTTGCAAGCACTTATTGGTTCAATTGAGTACAGAGAGAGTACTCAGGAGACTCTTATTCCAGAGAACAGGGTTTTTATTCAAACAAATTCACATGGCACATTCCTATGGATCTTAATGCCTGTCTCTACTACCCTAACCAGCCAGGAATCACTCAGACCTTCCCCCAAGTCTCGCTCACTGAGTGATGTCTTCTCAGCTGATGAGGGGGATGTAGCTGCTCCCCAGAGGATCCTCACAGCCGCCTTCAGTGCAGGTCCAGTTTCACAGTTCACTGGTAACACCCAGTGGTCATCAGGAGAAGGGGCATGCTCACAAGTGGCGGCTGCCTCTACATCAGGGTTTTGGGACAAACTCTGACAGCGTAGTAGTCTCTGATGGGCAAGGAGGTGAGCAAGGTTTTGGGTTCTGGCCTGAGTTTATATACCCAGTGGTGACCTCACCACCCCTGTTATCTGCACTGTCACCTTAGGGTTAGCTTGTTTGCATATCAGCCACCACCTTAGGGTTGGCTTATTAGCATATCAGCCACCACCTTAGGTTTGGCTTATTAGCATTATCAGCCTGTCATACTCTGGCTGGCCTCTAAGTCCTAACACACACTAGCTAATACTTCTTATTTCAACATTTTTTCATACTTTAACACAATACAATCCATCAATACAACAACAACCTTATATGTGTTCACCACACTATTACTTCCCCACTGCACCATGCAAAACACCTATAAAATAAGAGTTTGTGAAATATTTGCTAAAGGAAACCTTAGATCCTTAAGCCAAATAATAATTAGTGACACACATGGGTAGAAAATCCTGTTGGATAAATATTAGACATTTATACAGTAATAAACTAAAAACAGTATATAGTTGAAGTCACTTGAATGGAGAGAAATTTAGGAACTTCAGCATTTAGAGTCTACTCAAGCCTGCCCAAGTGTTAAATATGGCATAGTCAACTATTAATTTCTTTACCTAACCAAGCAAATCCACACTCCTTTTGTTTCACCTGTCTCCATGTAGATAAGTAAGAGCAATGGAATTTTGGTTAGCCCCAAGTCCCTTAAGACTATTTGGCAGAGCAAGACAAAGCCTCAAGAGCTCTTAAGGTGATCTAGCTGTATGTCTCAAAGACAATTGCTCTGAGTGAAGGCAAATGGCTGCAGGGTTCTTTCCCCTGGCGTACATGGGGAATGGAGCAAGGGTACAAAAGTTATAAATTAACTGAGGAATCTGTTAAATAAGATATGTCTGTCCTCTTATTTTGACAAACTAGCTTTCATAATGAGCTGGAAAGACAGGTTTTAAGGTAGATTTCTAGAGTCCCATGGTGGTGAATTGCAATGTGGTAAGAACCCACCATTTCTCTCTAATCCCCTTCCTTTACTGGCTCCTAGCCTGTGGCCAAATCTGGCCCCTTTTTGTAACATCCTCTAACCTGAACTGTAAAGGGTCTCCTGTATATGTCACTCCAGATGACATGTCCAAGCGCCATCTGTATTTCTGGCAGACAACTTATTGTCCCTTGGTTACCACTGTACTCAAGGCTTTACATACCTGGGAGGACTGCCTCAGAGAGAGGCTCAGGCAAACCTGGGATGTAAGTTCAGGCCCATTTGAGCAGGGAATTCTGAAGGCTTAGAATCTAGGTGGCAAAGCATGTCCCCTTGGTCTAACAAATCACTTACCTCCAGAGAAGACACAGTGGAAACGGTTACACCAAATGAAGCTTTTCTTTTTCCTTGTTAGCAGTGGGGTTTAAACTCAGGGCCTCATATGCATGCCAGTCCGGCACTGTACCACTTGAGCTATGCCCCCACACAGCAAAAGAAACAATCCAAAGAATGAAGAGACACCATACAGAATGGGAGAAAACATTTGCCAAATCTTCAACCAGCAGAAGATTAATGTTGTGAGTGCTTATTGGTCCAGTCGAGTACAGAGAGTCAGTACTCAGGAGAGCAGGTTTTTATTCAGACAAATTCACACAGCACTTTCTTATGGATCCTAATGCCTGTCTCTGCTACCCTAGCCAACCAAAGGTTACTCAGACCTTCCCCCAGTCTCACTCACCACACCAAAGAGGGGGTTGTATCTGCAACCAGAGGATCCTCACAGCCGCCTTCAGTGCAGGTACAGTTTCAAGGTTCACCAGCGACACCCAGTGGTCGTCAGGAGAAGTGGCGGCTGCCTCTACATCAGGATCTCAGGACGAATTCTAACGATGCAGTCTCTGGAGGGCGAGGAGGCAAGCGAGGTTTTGGGTTCTGGCCTGAGTTTATATACCCGGTGGTGACCTTACCACTCCCGTTATCAGCATTGCCACCTTAGGTTTAGCTTGTTTGCATATCAACCTAAGGTGTTGGCTTATTGGCATATCGGTCACCACCTTAGGTTTGGCTTATTAGCATGTCAGCCTGTCATTCTCTGGCTGGTATCTAAGTCCTAACACATACTAGCTAATACTTCTTATTTTAACAATTTTTCATACTTTAACACAATACAATCCATCAATACAACAACAATCTTATATGTGTTCACCACAGTCCACCCCCACGAGTCCTTGAGGTCCTAGTCTTCAGCGTAGGGCCTCGGGGACGAGTTCCATGGTAAACTGGAAGAGTTAATTAGCATCACGAATGGGAATAATTCCCCTTTTGTGTCCATGCAAAAGCTGCAATAAAAAGTCTTTTCCCAACCAACGGGATGCCAATGTCCCATATAGCGTGCTGCATAGCGTTCATTAGTCCAGTAGTGACACATGCCCAGTCTGACATACATGTGGAAATGGGCAAGTGTCACCACTGGGCAGAAGTGGGAAACAATGAAGAAGATAAGAAATCCTGTAGTTGGTGGATGTGGATGAATCTCCTCTGCAGCCCATTTTTGTAAGTATGTCCATGCAGTCCATTGTGTTGATGGGGGAATGGTATAAATGCTACCCCCTGGTCTGCAAGCTGGTGCTGTGTCTTTTGCCAAGTTGGATCAGTGTCCAGGTTTCCACTGTAGTATTGTGTCATCCCCAAAGTCCACAGCCTTCAGTTGATTGTTAATGATTTTTGTGTGGGGCTTGCTCTTACATCTGATTGGGGTTGTGTATGTCCAGGGTTGAGTCTGAAGATTGCCTCGTGTTTGTCGATGAAGGTTCCAACTGCTGAGTAGTGTAGGGTACCCGTGTTGGAAACGATGAAACACATTGAAGGTGAATTGAAGGTGGGTTCTAGTTCCACTGGATCAATGGGCTGTCCATCTGGATCAAATATGATGGGTGATCGAAGAGGTTTTCTTCTGGTTCTTGGAATGTTGAAGGTGTTAGTTGTCCAGAAGGAGTTGATGGTGTCTCTTGTGTGATTATTTGTTGTGTATCTACAGGGGTGTGGGACATGGGCCTGACTATTTGTGTTTGTTTTGGTGTGTGTGGGGTTACACAAGTAATGAATGGTAAAGCATGATGGTAAAAAGTGTAATAGGCCTATGTGTCTTGCAGTATATAAACCTGTCAAAAATCCCCATGTTAGTCCCACTAGATAGAAGAAAAATAGAGTGAAGAAGAGATCATTCAGCATTATTTACCAAAGCTTGTAAAGTCTATATCTATCAATAGTAGAGAGCCTCAAGATTAAGAATAAGAATAAGAGGAGTGTGTATTTGATAGAAAATGTTATGTCTAGAACAATAAGAGTTATTTCTGGTTTAACATTGAGTGTATTGTTCACTGGGGGCCTATGGCATTTTCCTATTGGATGTTCAGTCCTGCAATATGAACAAAAAATCCATTCTATATGTCTTCTGTAATGGGTTTTTAACTCTATGATTTTGTTTTTCCTATATGTGTCAAAGTATTCCTTCCAATTGAGGAATGCAAGGTATTGTTTGAGTGCATGTATCATGATTGGTTTAAAAATTGTACTGATAGTAATGTCCTCCAATGATGGTTGGATGACTATGGGGTTATCCGTGGTTGGCTCGACAGAGTAATGCTTGGACTCTATTAATTGCAGGAGTGTTTCAGGTTGATTATGGAGCATATGGCCCCAAAGTGAAGGATATGTGTGCTCTCGTTGTGAGAGGTGCACACTTATCCAAAATGTAAGGAGAGTGCCTACCACTTGGTAGCAGTGCTTGCACCCATAAGTGTTGTGAGGATTTAGATCATGTTTTAAGAATTCTCTGTATGTATCTTGCTGTTGCTGGCCATTATGTATTGCAAATCTAGCCTTGCAAAATCTACATTCATCATCAGTATATAATCCTAACATCCTATTAATAATCACGAGAGCATCTATATGCATTGCCTGTGTGTGGTAGAGGTGGTTCCAAGTTATTTCTTTAAAATAATATCCTCCAAGGGTATGGGGGTTCCATTTACTCCCATTATTCATATATTTGTAATCAAGGGCGTGGAAGCCTTGCATTGTTGTGGGCAATTAGTTTCCAAATTGCCAAATCAGCACTTTTGAGAATGCCTGCAATATAGGGAAAGTAGTTTTATTCCTATAACCAATATAAATATGAGCACTGTATAGTGCCATAAATCTCTTAACCACCTAAAGGGGTTCCAAGAGGTGATACAAGAAATGTCAAATTTCACCAGTCTTATTAACACATCTCCTGCTGATCAATGAGAGGGTATATATCTATGGTGGACAAATGACATTGTATCTGTCTCAGCCAAGTACACTGTCTTCTTTATTCCTACCAATTGTTTGTCCATGTGTTTAAATTCCTTATGGACTGCATCATTCATGCTTGCAAATTGTTTTGGATTTTTATGTTTGAAGTCCTTCATAATATCTAATTGTCCATTGGCTTCTTTTGCCATTGCTTCTTCTCCTGCTAAAACATCTGGAGCTGCTGCTTATGAAAATGAGAAATAATGTTGTGTGGATATTACTCTCCTATCCCAAACCTGTCTCGAATAAGTAGTACTATTGAAAATTGGATTTGGCTGATGTCTGAAGGTGACATTGATTTTGTATGCATTCTCTAGGATAATGCATCCTTCTGGTTTTCTTGGGTTCTGTCAATGAAGGTAATTAGGTGCCACATAACTACTGATCTCATAGTATATAATGTTTGTCCAATTTGTCATAGCCTTAATTGGCCCTGGTAGCCATTTATAATTTAACTTTTGAGCATTAAGCATAATAGTTTTAGTAGCTGGTGTTACTATGTATAGTGGGATAGGTTGTTCAGCTATGTTAGATTGGTATGGTAGGGCTTGTCTAGGTATATATTGAGCTTCATGTATATATGTTGGAATATCACAATCTAAATTGCTTGGGATTGTGCCTATTCTATGTATATTTGAGAACCTGGGTCTTATTCATTAAGGCATACACTGTTAAATTCCTTTTTCCCGCAAAGCTAGAGAACACCATTCTG